AAAGAGAATTCAAAAAATATAGGGGCTGAACCCCTATTTCTGTTATAGGAATAGAAGAAAAGGAAAGGTGGAAGAAGAAGAAGAAATTAGTATATAAACACACAAAATTAGTAAAGAAAAAGAAGAAATGTGTTGATTGGACAACATTTTATGTTCTTCCTTACTTATTGGTTCAGGTTTTGATGTCTTTGAGGGTTCAATACAGCATTTAGCAATGTTTGTGTGGATTAAACCCTAACAAATAAGAAAATAATAAAAGAAATTAGTATATAAACACAATATGAATATTTTAGTTTAAAAATGTCTATTTTATAATTATAACCTAAAAAAATTAAGAATATAAAAGTTTTTTATAACATGCTATAGAAAACTGCTTGGTGAGCCTCCAAGGGCGCCTAGAGAGAGAGAGAGAGAGAGAGAGAGAGATGCGAGGACATACATACACACATTTGAGAACCAGAATCCAATGTATATCTGAGACTCAGACTTGGAAAGAAGAAAAATAGAGTAGTAGTGGTACTTTGCTTTAACTCGGTGCAGGCATTGTCTGGTGATTCAATGAGATTGCAATAACCAACTTCTTGCCCTCAAATGTTCCAATTTACCCGTGGAAATAAATACATTTAAGTTTTCTAAGCATTGAATAAATTTACTTTTACATTTTAAAAATAATATACATCTAAATATTGGCATAGATCATAGGAAAGGGTCAAGGAAAATCGACCTCAAAAGTTGACCGACTCAGAAGAGTCAAACAATTCATATTGCAATAAGAGTAATTGGAATCAACCACTTGACTAAGACAAGTCATAGTCATGTGAGGTAGGTCATCATGACACAGCTCCCCATGCTTGGAAATTAAGACAACCAGAGAGTCGTGAGAACAACTCAGGAGGTGGAAAGCTTTGAATTATGATACCATCAACCAGACATTTATGTCTGTTTAATACGTGCTTATGTACTAACATCATATGACCAAGTCAGTCAAAATGATGAAATCTGTCCTTGCTATTAGATCCTAGTTATAAACTGTTCTACATATAGTCCTCCTTGGAAGACTGAGAATCATATGTCCTTTTTTTCTTCACATTTTTTCTGCTTGGTATTTATAATGAAAATAACCATTTTTCCAACAAGTATTTGTTTATTGAAATTCAAAAATTTTGGAATCAATGGGTAACCACTCTAGGAAGTTCACCCCCAATACAATGAGTATCTAATATCTATTAACCCCACTTCTAGTTAGGTGATCTGCTAGTGAAGTGGCTGATCTCAGATGTTCACCTAGCATCAAAAGAGATTCACCCACACTTCAGTAACAAAGGAACAAAGAGTGGATTATGGTTGTTTTGTTTCCTTTTCTTTTTTGATAAGTGTTGTTTTGTTTCATTTTACGAGAGGTTGCCCTCTAATTTTGCCATATACTCCTTGGGTCACTGTACTTCTCTTTTCTATCTGTTAATAAAATGTCCTCAATCTTAAGGATGAAAAAGGGATACTGATGTAGTACAGAAAAGAGAGAAGCCCCAAGATGCATGCAATGGGTAAATAAGTCTGATATAGAGGGAACAAAGGAGAGGAAGAATCTCAGATTTGAAATGTAAACGAATAGATAAAGAGAAGGAAGACATTTTTTATCAATAAAGAGAAGGAAGACATTTTTTTATCAATAAAGAGAAGGAAGACACCAATCATTGCCACCACAAACTTCAAACTTTCATTTTAGGGTTTTCTTCTAAAAACGATCAGATTAAAAATTAGGCTTTAGGCCTAAAAGCTGACCAAAAATAATTTATAATCACAGTAAGACCAAGGTAAGCCTATGTATAACTCATACAACATGCAAAAGTGAAAGGACTTGATCATTCATAACCCATACTTAACCCTGTCACAGACACCTTACAACTAAACAATTGAGACTTGAAACAACTCCTACAACCCATATAGTAATCCAATTACAACTAAAATAGAAAAACTTAATCCCATCTCAGGCAGACACCTTATCAGTAATTTGGCCATAACTGCATCTAAAAATATCACCTGTAATGATCTTGACCTCACTGGATATATAATTTAGAAGCCCACCTAATGACACCAAAATGAAAAGTTTTGACCCTGAAAAATATGCTGGAAAAAAATGACAGTACTTATAATATCAACTTTTCAACATTATAAAAGCTCCTTAATAAAGACACCCATGGAGCATGTAGCCCTTGCAACACCCCAAACTGTTTTGACCCTTTAAGACGGGATGCAACTTGGGAAGGCTCAGGTTGAGCAACTGTCAAAATTTGAAAAGGCACAAACCTGGGTATCTTTTTTATTGCTTTAATGGGTGAGACATGGATGCCTTATGCATTAGATGACACACGGCATACTTAGAGAACACCATGTGGCATCTTTTACATTGTCGATGTCATTTGTTGATAATAAGATGCCATGTTGCAGCTCTTCTCTTTTTTTTTTTTTGATCAATAACAGAATCATTTCATTAATGAAAGATGAAGAAAAGTACAATGGTAGGGGAGGTAAACTCTCTCAACTCCCCCAAGGAAAAAGAAAGATTATAAATTGGCCCAGAACAACTGATTTCTTCCCACCCCTTGTTTAGCTAGTGCATCTGCAAAGGAATTAGCACCACCTCTTTACCCATTATAATCTCACTGTCATATCCCAAGTCAGCCACTTAACTACTCTTTTTTCATTCAAGTAGCTCCACATGCTACAGTCCTCCTTTTGTAGCCAATCTATTACTAGCTTTGAGTTTAACGGACAAAAAATGGAAACAATGCCTTTATCAAACCTTTTTCTTTGCAATACATATTGCGAAAACACAACTTACCAAACCATTTATTAGTGCAATACAAAGTAAAAGCCCAAAAGCAAACTTTTACTCTTGGACTTGTAAAAAAATGCAAGAGTCTAATCCAAACAGCACCTATAAATTGCCACTAGCAGAGGAATCTAAAGAAATTTGATTTCTTCTTCCATGGTTTTTTTTCCCTTTTTCCATGTCTACAACAAGTGTCCTATAACCAATTGTCAGGTTACATGAATCAAAAACCGGTCTCCTATTAATGTTTAAGTTCAAAATATTTTATCCAATCAATGGAAAGGTACAATTAACAATAGTAAGTAGACAACTGACAAGGAGTCTTGCTTAGCAAAACTTTAGGCTGACAAGCATGAAAACACAGGTTTGCATCTGAGAGTGGCCACTTGGATGGAAAAAAACCTAAAGGTTAGTTCTGTATCCAACCTACCCCTCCCAAGGCCCCAGATAGCTAAGACCATCACTGGGAAATGGTCCTTCCTAAGTAGATGATGGACATGCCCAACCAATGACATCCAACAAATGTACAAGTGTACAAGTTTTAAAACTTTTTTTTATGAATGGTGTACAAGTTTTAAAACTTTTTAAGGATAAATAATTAAATTTAGGGTAAATTTAAGATTAGTACATTGTACTTTGGGGGTGGTATCACTTTAGTACCCAAACTTCAAAACATGTCACTGCAGTACCTGACCTGAACTCCCAAAAACTGTAACTTTAGTCCAACACCGTTAACGGCCATTACAGTGGATAGTAAAATTATCAAAATGCTCTTTGTTGTCATAAACAATCAAATACGTTTACAAAACCAACAAATTGGTCTCTTCCATATAGATGTAAATCAGTCCTCTAATATCAAGTTTAAATTCAGTGATTAGCAGAATAAAATAGATCTGAATAACTGTATGAGAGAAGAAGATGGCGAAGAGAAGAGGTAAGAGAAGGAGTCGAATTAATTCTCCATTCTCCTCTAACCCTATTTTATTAAGATCTAAAAAATTAATGATGACRAGTRTGCMCTTAAGTGGGYGGCCAGCTTGGCAGTTACATAAAGGAAATAAACAAGAATAAATAACAGGCCCATTAAGTGTGGACCGTCAACATAAAATAAAAGATATTACAAGAGAGGCTGTTAGGGCCCATTCGGCCCAGTCTCTTTACACATATGATGGTGGATGAGGAGTACAGAGCACCCTTGTACTTGGCAGGTCGTCAACAACTTGGTCTCTTCCACATGCCACATAGATCAAGGGGACTCACTCAGTTCATCCAAGATTGTTAAGTGCTGAGTCAAGGAATTCTTGACTATGACTCCAAGGGATGACTTCAAGATGGCATCAGGGCAACTTTGAGAGGTGGACTTGTGTTGGGTTGAGGACTCTGCTCACCACTGTTCTGGTTTAGTGTCGAGGAAGAAGATGATGAACTGTGTCTTCTCCTAAAGGGTAATTTTGGGATTTTGGAAGTTTCAAATTGTATGTGATATCACGTGCATCAGATAATTGATGGAATGCAAACAGCAGGGCCTAAAGTGGCAATTTTTGGGAGTTCAGGTACTGCAGTAGCATGTTTTAAAGTCTGTGTACTAAAGTGAGACTACCCCAAAAGTATAGGGTACTAATCTGCAATTTACCCTTATATTTATTGCAAGCCAACTCTTCCCTGTATTCTTTATTTTGTCTTGCTCCTTTATGTTTTAAATGGTTAATTATCATGTATAAAATTATAAATACAATTGATGGCATCTAGAACCCTAGAGGACAGACCCAAAATCATTTTGCTGCACATAATAGGGGTCAAAGGGAATATACCTGATGACACACATATGACTTGTCACCCCTACAAAGAACTCAGGCAATAGACACTACCAACATTGGGGGGCATTAGAGATGAAGATGGAAACATCATTGCTCTGTACTCCGGTCCTGTGGAGCAGGGTGATGTGGCAAGGACAAAGTTTCTAGCTGCAGCATATGGGATTGAGAAGGCTAAAGAGTTGGGTATTAATAGACTGATCATCAAGGGAGACTCAAAAACTGTGATGAAAAGGTTGCAGAAGGGGGAAGGGATGACATGGCAACTGAAGAATGAATTCCGACGATTTAAATGGTTGTCAATGGACATGTCAATCCAGGTGGGATGGGTGAGGAGATCTGCCAACAGTTTGGCAAATAGCTTAGCAAAGCAAGGGGTTCAAAGAACACATGTTTTGGGCACATTTGTAATTCTGTCTTGGGTCAGCTTACTAAAGCTGGTTTCTTTCACAAATTCTTATTGTATCCATAATTTTTCCTTTCTTTGATCAGTAAAAACATAATTTTTCTAATTAATGAAATCATTTCAGAGTTATTGATCAAAAAGAGACACTACCAACATTAAAAGGTTGCTAGAATGCCCATATCTTTCCGAAACTCCAGGAGAATCACACATAAGGTATGTTGGGAATATATAACGTAAAATATATAAATATAGGCTTCCTACAGCATATTGATCAAAGAACAGAAAAAATACCTAATAGCACCTTCATGAAAACAGCAAGTGAGGTAGAACGTAAAGAAGATTTCCATGAAAGCAAAGATGTGAACATCTTCCTTACCAAAAATGTATTCTTCTTTGGCCGGCCCTTCCGCACTCGAAGACCAAATGGCACTTGAATACCAGTTCCCCCAAGATAGTCCTGCCTAGAAACCAGTGGCACCGTTCCAAGACCCTTCCGATTATGCTGACTATGGGATTTGACCCGCAAGATCTTATCCCGAGAACTTGTAGGAGTTTCTACTCTTCCACTAGAATATCTTGACTTAAGATCTGATGATTCTTCGATGTATCTCCGAGTAGGCTTGCGTAATCTTTTTGGTGCTACAAGCACACCTTCTCCATCACCCAAATCCAAGACTCCAAATGTTTTTCCAGCATCAGAAGAACCAGTTATCAAATCCTCCCCAGCAACCATACTTTCCCTTTCCACATCTTGGCTTACTGGTTTAGCCACGTTCCCCAGAACATTTGTAAAAAGGCTTTGCATTCTTCCAGACGAATCATTACTAGATGTAAAAATCATATCACCTTCATTTCCATTAGGAATTCCACTTTCCAGCAAGTCTGATACATCCCCAAACTCAACAAGATTCTGTAAACCAAATGAGATACGGCGCTTAAGCCACTGCTTGTCCTTCACAGATGTCTCCCGTCCAAATGTTGTCCTAAAAGCTTCCTGTAGGTCATAAATCGTCATTTTGTCAAGTAAAAATTCAGACTGATCAGATGTAGATTCCAGCACTGGTATTGTTTCTGTTAAGTCTGGCATCTGAGTTATGCTGTTCTTCCCACTTAAGCATGATGGTTGACTTTCCAGCCTCAAGTTCCCCACATGAGATCCTTCACATGAACCATAATCCAAATCGGGAACTCTTTCAGCATATTCAGTATCTGTACACAGAAAAAAAAATGAAAACCAATGATAACAATAATGATAGAAATAATAAAATTGAAGGATATGTATAATTAAATGCGACTTTGACAACAATTGAAATTCAAACTAAGTAGATAACTGCAAGAAGGCTCACCTAAAAGATAATCATCACATGAGGTAGATAAACCATTTGGTACATGAAGATCCCCCTCGCCAATGCCATGAAACATTCCATCAAGAAACTACGAATACAGCAACATTGTCAAGATATTACTGGCATATAGGGAAATATGACCTCAGATAAGTCTCTTCTGAATTAAAAGTAAGGCCTGAAGCAGGAGCTAACCAATGAAGGATAAAGACATAATAGAGCAACGTATTCCAACAAGAGGTAGGATAGTTGGTGGTGGTGCATGTCTTCCCAAGTACAAAAGATAAAATTACAGACTACAACTATCTGATTAAAAAAGAAAAAATATATAACAGATAAAATTCAAAAAAAAATGAAATTGCAAGCATGAAGATTTTTTTCAAAATAACTTGACCAAGTCAGTCAACAAGTATTTGATGTTGGGATATAGAAATGCCATATCAAGCACATATCTTAATGCAAGCAGAAAAGCAAACAACAAATGGCAAGATGAAAATCTCAGCCTCCAGGAGAACTCCAAATTTGAGGATTCACTTGTCCAACTACTAAATGTTTATCATGAATGAGATATCTCCAACATTTTCAACAATTCCAATAGTTCTAATAGGGACAAATGGAGTATATGGATAATTATGTTTTCAATAAAAAACTAAAATGAATAATTGCATATTCAAAAAAAGCATTAAACTGTGGGAATGCATGCCTTGTAATATGAGTCCATTTCCCCACCAGTTTTTGCAGGCTAATTCTTAAATAAGGGGTTGGCTTAGTACGCTATGCATCAAGTTTATACCAATACAACATGAAAGAGGTGTAATAACTAAGTTTTTTTTTTTGATAGATAGGTGTAATAACTAAGTTTTGAATTACCTATTTGGGAATTAAAGAGAAATTCAGATAATGCCTTGTTTAATGCTTTTTTATTAATAAGTGTCCTGTTTCATGCTTTCATCATTCCACCTACCTAGTAACATTTTTTTGATAAATGAAGATAATTTTATTAAACCAGAGAATTAAGGCATTACGGGAAACCCATGGAGAGGCACGAGCTGTTAACTCTCTTAACAAAGTATTACATCAAGTTAAAACAGGAGAAAATAGAAATGAAAATTACAGTGCAGCCCAAAATAAATGTTCCCTTGAAGCCCCTTGCTTAGCCAACCCATCCGCTAAGGTATTTGCTGATCTTCCCACCCAAAGAGAGGTAACAGTCATGCTCCTTGTGAGCCAACTAACTTTCCTCAACAAGTCTTTGTATCGCCATATGGTTGAGCATGGATCTGTCAACCATCCCACAATAATTTGGAGTCTCCTTCAATTACCAAATTCTGAACTCCTAATTGTTCTACATTTTGAATACCTTGTACAGCCGCTAAAATCTCAGCTCTATTAGAGTCTCCTATTCCTACAGGGCCTGAAAACATGGCTAAGATGTTGCTATCCTTATCTCTCAGCACCCCTCCCATCCCTGTTGGGCCTGGTTTCCTTGACTGCTACCATCAAAATTCAGCTTTACCCAACCTTCAGACGGAGGCACCCACACTGCAGATGTCCTGTCCTTCCTCATATGACTATTAGCCACCGTATCCAGTTTCTCCAAATATCATCAAAAAGAAAATGTTTGAAAAGAGTCCACAGTTCTCAACCAATGAATGGCCCTAGTCAAGATACAATCCTCTACAGCCTGAATGCTTCTTTCCTTTTATTTGAATAACCTTGCATCTCTTTCTTCCCAGATTGTCCACAAGGCAGCTGCTCTAATACATCTCCACATAGTTCTTCCTTTTTTTTGTAGGCCACACAAAAAAGGAAGGATCAAACAGCTGACTTAAGTCTGTGGTCAGATTCCACCTGCACCCAAACATATTTAAGCCTGCAAGAATTTCTCAAGGTCCATGCTTTTATGGCTTAAGCCTACAAGAATTTCTCAAGGCCCATGCTTTTATGAGTTAAGCAAGAATTTCTCATACAGCCCCTACCTTCTGAATTTTGCATGTTACATCAGAGCCTTCAACCTGGCATCTGCATCCTAGTAAAGCAACCATTGGTTGTTGATGCACATGACTGAACCATTCTCATTGACTTTTCCTATCATCACATATTTTTTGTGGAGACATCAGTAGGATCATGTGAATGTTTTTTTTTTTTTTTTTTTAATTCTAAGTAATCTTGCCACTTACTGATCTTAAGGGATTTATGTCTTGTTCACTCATTCTGTGGATTTCTTGTGTCCTTGTTGCCCTAGAGCTCTCTCCCATTCCTATAAGCAGCTATCAAGCTCAATTTTAACAAGTATTCCATTGGGAACCTGGCATGGTGAGAGTGTTTTTGTTAGTCTGCTACTTGAACACATAGTCCCTGAAACGCTAAGTTGGCAGTGTCACTATGGGTCAGTATGTTCCTATGTCATTAAGGTATATGAGTTTGGTAAGGCAGATGGGGAACAGTATGTTTAGAGGTGTTTACACTGTAAGGGACACACGTCACCTAGTGAAGATGTAATCTCTAATGTTAGTTCCAAAACTTGGCAAGTGATAGGTAATGAGCCTCACTAAGCAATCTTTGTTATATATCAAGATCATACCTCTTCAAAGTATCTTGGCAACTGGCAAGTCCAGTATGGCATCATTTTCTGACCATGCTGTTTCCTATCTGCTAAACTATACTCCTCTACTCTTTGTGACAATGAAAGGCACTGTTTTGTATGACTATACTAGGGTCTTTCTATTATCATGCAATAGCAGAAACAAATGGATGCCCTACTTTGTAATGGCTCCATGCTAGGTGATCTATCCATTGTACTGTTTTGTTACCTGATACCAACAGCTGATTGCCTTAACAAGAATCCTTGCCAACACCTGGGTCCTTAAGAAAGGAGTAGTTTTAGGGGTCATGTGGACAAGGTTATCTTGGTTGCACTCATGGTTTAAAATGTCCCTAATTTCCCTAATACTTCCATGACAAATTTCCATTTCCATGGGTAGCGACACAAAATTTTACCCAAATCGACATATTCCCCAATGAACACTACCAACACTATGTGGAGTACAAGAGATAGCTTCGACAATATATTTCCATCTCTATTTTCATGGGTAGTAACATGAAATTTTACTGGAATTGACATATTCCCCCATTGAACACTACTGGCAGTATGCAGAGTAGAAGAGGTAGTATTATAACATAAGTTGGTGACAATATTATAGATATATACGTGGAGTAACAAAGTCAATATCCGCCTAACTTACATGATTACCACTTTGAGCTAGCTTAATATTCATTTTAAACATGAAACACAAAGTTAAATATTAGTTTTTTTTGTGTGTAGTAGATAACCATTTACATTTTCCATGAATTCAAAGTTTGCTTTAACTCACCATCACTCTATCATAAAGCTTTAAATCCTGAGGTTTACAGGACAACTTCAGAATACAACCTTAGTTTCTTACCTTTGTTTAATGCTTTGGAACAAGAAAATAATTTAAAAAGGTGTGTCTATGCTTCTTTTATAAAATATCATTCTATATTTTGCATATTTACAATGTTTCCACTATGCCTATAATTTTTACAATATTTCCAACATTTTCGACATGTTTCCTATATTTGGATGACCAACATTTCCACCGACGCCAACATTTTAAACATCAGCTGTATTTGATCCAATAGGTAAGGTCCGTAAGGATCACCCCATTAGAGTGTCCATGGTGCTGCTTCAAGATCTGTCAGACCTTGGAGGCTCACCTCACCTAATGGCCAAGCAGTTTTGTACATTGTGTTTTAACATATTTTTATATTCTTAATTTTTTGAGATTATAATTATAAAATAGACATTATTAAACTAAAATGTTCATTTTATGTGTTTATATACTAATTTCTTTTTATTATTTTCTAATTTATTAGGGTTTAATCAACACAAACATTGCTAAATGTTGTATTTAACCCTCAAAGACTTCAAAACCTGAACCAATATGCAAGGAACAACTTAAAATTTTGTCTAATCAACACATTATCTTCTTCCACATCTTCATCTTCTTCAAAATCTGAACCACTTTTTCTTTTCTTCTTTTCTTATAACAAAATAGGGGTTCAGCCCCCATATTTTTTGAGCCTTCTTTTCTTTCTTCTTTTTCTTATGATTATGTTGATTTTCTATTCTTTAACATGAAGTTCATACTTTTCTTATGAAAATTATGGATGATTATCAAGGAAAAATGGTTATGGAACCTAGGGAACTACCCTAGGATATATGTTTTTTGCTTAAAAAAATCCATCGCCTAGGCAATTAGGCGACAAGGCACCCCCTGTCGCCTAGCCTCACCTTGGCACCTTGAAAATAATGCATTTAGAGGTCACATGGACGTGGTTATCATGGTAGAACTTGGTCCAATTTATGAGGATCAGTCCACTAGCACTAGAATGTAGTCCATGGTTCTGCCTCATGATCTCTGACAGATTTTGTGCTTACTTGAAAGATGCATTGGATAAATATGCATGTCCAAAACATGCAGGCACACATGCCTTATGAACACATTTTTTTGCTGAATAAACAAAGCTTTTTATAACAAAGAAAAAGTAATATAGTCTGATACGGGCATCAGGAAAGGAAAGGTATCAAAAGATAAGGGAGACTGAGTAACGGTCTTGGCATATTGGGCTGATTCATGACAGCTCGAATGTGTACTGTCTCTTAACATAACAGAAACGCACAGTCCCTATATGTCTGTTCATTGTTCTTTACATTTGGTAACATTACAAACCATACAAACATGTGCATACATGTGCATGCTATGTATACATATACATAGACAACATGTATGGTACATATACATCTCTTTCTGATTATGGTTTTAGTTATCCATATGACCACTTTTCTTGATTTTAGCAGCATACTGTATTTGATACCTCAAGTCTACTAAATTGATGATATTATACAGATCTGGTCGCATTATAATAAAAATATAAGATGTTTTTTGATGAATAATAAAAATATAAGATGTTTTGTTCTGTCTTGCCTATATTCCTCCTTTCTATACTCCCCTCTCAATTTTTTTATCAATAACAATCAAAATTTTATTAATATAATGTGAAGGAGTCCATAAATGTACAAATTTTTTTCTAGAGATAAGGAGTCTTTATCTCTATCCTAGGAGTTTCCTTTTACTTTTTCACAATTCTACCCAAAACATTAGTTCCTTCTCTACCCCTTCCTTTTCTAGTCAACCACCTGAACCTTTTCGCTTCATACTTTTGCACCACAATGCAGCCTCCCTCTTTTGTAGCCACCCAAATCTTCTTCGATAATCAATTTTTCCACACTCATTTTTTTGCCCTCTGCATACCTTGCATTGTAGCTACCCAATCAGGCCTGAGAATAATGCAACAATATTACCTTCTTCATTTGTGAAAACTCCCCCCACTCCTGTGTTCCCAAGAATACCTACTCCACTCTCAAATTCATACTTTATTCCCCACATTGAAAAGCTATTATCAACTTTATTCAGACAAATTGATCCATGAGAATATCAAATTTATTGGCATTAAAAAGAATGGACTAGTGAAACAGATTCATGTAGCCAACCCCATATAGTTGGTAAGGCTTGGATGGTGATGGTTTATTATTATTATCAAATTGACCCATAGGCTCCTAAGGTTTCATGGGAGTAGAAGTTTGGTGAACAGAAAAAAAACCCTTGGATGTCCAAGCGTGAGAAACCCCCAGTGGCGAGCCATCAGCCCCAACCTTTGGGCTTCTAACCCAACCCACGTTCATGCAGGCTCAGGCTGAGCAACTGGGTTGATCTTTGTCTGCAGTCAAGCTTCAGGTTAACTACTTTGTTCCTACTATCCGGAAGGGATTGGCCATTGAACTCAACCACCTAATCTTTATTCACTCTTAGTCTTACCTACAGTATATATATATATATATATTGGAGTGAGAAGTTCGAACTCACTGCAAATCAATTTTTATAGTCTCCAGCAATGTTGTCAGACTCAGACCAGACCAAACAACTTAGGTCACTGGGTCACAGGTAAAATGGTTCAACCATCCTGGGCAATGGTAAAATAAAAAAAAAAAATAGAAATGAATACAGAATTTTTTATGGGTAAAAGTAAAATGATTTCAGATTATCTCTTAAAGCTATGATCAAAAGTTTTATAGAAAAGATAAGGTATAAAATTTCACTACCAAAAAGGGTGTCTCCCCTAAGATTTACAGAATATCAACTTCTATACAGTGAGAGGCTGTACACAATCATTGTATGGTGTGGCTTCAAAACAACAAACTGTGTCCCTTACTCCCTTCTCAGTTTCTAAGAGTATGAACAGAAAATGTATCACCATCAAGAATCTCCATAAACTCATCTTTTATTGTCTCCTTAAGCTCCTTGTTAACAGATACATTTGAAGTTCACCCAAGTCAACATGTCCAAGAACCAGGCAACTCAAAATTTGTTTTGGCTGCACATACTGAGCTCTGATGATCCAACTGTCCAAGCTGGTCCAGTCTGACAACATTGGTTTTCAGATACCAAGAGCCTCCAAATGAGTAGTACAAGTTATAATAAATCATAACAGGTTTCGTAATGTAGAAAGCAATACTTTTTGCCCTGAACTTTAGCAATCCATGGTAATTTACCAGCAATACAAAAATAACAGACTAACAATATTTCAACTGAAAGTTTCCAAGCATGTGAAGAACATACTTCGAACTTTGACTCCTCTCTCTCCCCTTCTGAAGAATTGGCATGCAGCATTCCTGAACAAGTAATCACAAAGAAATACACTTGTTAAACTAACCAGAAACTAAGACAGCAAGGTCAATGTCAGTATACACAAAAGACAAACTAAATGGCATAAGCAATACAAATAGTAGAAAAATAGGAAGTAATTTGTCTGAACAACATAGTTAAAGTGATTTATAATTTATAAATAGAAGTGCAACTACATTGAGCCTATGCCCTAGGCCATCCCCTTGAAATTTACTAGATGCCCAAACCAGCCCGCAGTAGGTGCATCCCAAACTATAATTATACCAGCCACGTTTTATATTAAGGATGCATTGTTTCTTCATGAAGTGAACATAAAATTTTTTCAGTTCAAATATTTCAGCAGTTAATTTTGCCCCTTTTATGACAAAAAAAAGTTCCCCACCCCCTTCTACTTTGTTTTGATGTAAATGGCAACAAAAGCAAAGCTCAAATAATTGAGCCTGAAAAATCTACTACCCATTCACATTGAAACAAATGGTGGACTGAAACACATGGCCCTTTGGTAAAGATTTTTTTATCAGTTATCTTGTGGAAAGGGTCAAGATGGTCAAACAGGTGCATCCCTTTGTCCCCTTCCACTACGCCGACATATGCAGTCTTTTTATCAATAACTTCAAGAATTTACTAAGGTGTAGAAAAGTCAGAGATATGCCAAAATGTGCAATCTTCCTGAGAACAGACTGGTACTCGTTGAGATTTGAGATTTCCATAATCTCCTCTTTCATGGATACACTAAAAAACTATACTATTCAAGGGTATAGAGGAATTCTGTACACAACAGGAATGTCCCAAAAAGTGAAGCATATTGGGAGTTACAGCATATTCATACAAATTGAGAAGAAAATGTGGTACAAAAAGGGAAACTTGATATGAAGTAAATAAAGCACAAAGTCAAATGACCATTACCACTAGAAGTTTTCATATGATCATAGTCAACAGCACATGGAAAATCTTCAATTGTTAGGCACTTTTCTGAACTCCCTGAGTTATAGCATAATATGTTATCCACTAAAACCTTATCATTTCTTGGTTCCGCTAATAAATGCTGAACTTCTAGTTCATCTTCTGTGGTAGGTAGATAGGATCCATCTCCATCCACCTAGAAGCAAAAGAAGATAAAGAATAACAAAAGTGCAACAAAAAAATAGTTACCAAGAAACAAAATCAAGAACATATCACTAACAATAAGCATCAATGACTATGATTAGAAAACAGAATGCAACTGTGTCAGCAAAGGTAATGACCCTTAAAGAGGAAAAATGAAATTTTCATTCTCTAAGTAGATAAGAGTTTTAAGGGATCAGACAACAACAGTGATTTAAAAGGCCAACATGAGGCACACCTAGGCCCCCAGGCGAGGCGCATTTTAAGATATGCATCTTACATAGCCTTCAGGCGCAGCACTTTCAAAGAGCACTCGATGTGCACCTGGTACGTCATGTGCTTCAGCCCAAGTGCATGCCTTTTGAAAATTTGTGCTTCAGCCCAAGACCCCCCCACCTCCCCCAAACTAGTGCTATGCATTCTTCATTCTCCTTAGCATAAAAGATTTTTATTAAAAATAAAGAAAAAATGAGATCCTCCTTCCTCTTCTTCCTCCTCCCCCTCCTCTTAAGGAAGCTTACGCCTCTTATGTTCTGAACTACATGCCTCACGCCTCTAGGTAGTGGAAGTGTGGAATGCCTCGCATCACGCCTCTGCATTTTGAAACATCAGTTGGATTGGATGTAAGTGGGTGTATATTATTAAACATAAGGTTGATGGCTCTGTTGAGAGATTTAAGGCATAATTGGTAGACAAAGGATATACTCAGACTTGTAGCATTGATTATCAGGAAACCTTTGCTCCAATGGCTAAAATAAATTCCACCTATGTGATCATGTCTCTTGTTATACATTTGTCTTGACCTTTATATAATTATATCAAATGGATGTGAAAAATGCTTTCCTTAATGGAGACCTACAAGAGGAAGTTTATATGAACTTGCCTCCAAGAGTGGGCCTTCCTAACAATGAGGGAAATGACTACCATCTAAAGAAGTCCCTATATGGATTCAAACGGTCTCCCAGAGCTTGATTTGATAGGTTTAGAAAGGTAATCTTGAAGCTTGGGTTCTCTCAAAGACCAATTAGCCATCTCTTTTACCTATGTCTAAGTCTAACTAGACCATATATATCCTATGCAGTCAATGTGGTTAGTCAATATATGCATGAGCAAAACCTCTCACACTATCAACAAGACTCTTGCTTATCTGAAGGGGTGTCCTGGCAAAGGAATGTTATACTCCAATCACAAGCATTTGAAGATTCAGGCCTACACATATGCTAATTAGGTAGAGCCAGTGGATGACAAGAAATCTACTTCTAGCTATTGTGCCTTAGTTCGGAGCAATGTGATATCTTGGAGGAGCAAGAAACAATCCATTGTCGCTCACTCCAATCTAGAGGCACAATACAGAGTTGATGGAGTGTCAGAGTTGCTATGGTTTAGGATCTTGTTAACAGAAATGGGAATTCAAGATGAAGCTTCAATGAGACTTTATTGTGACAATCAAGCAACTCCAATCATTGCACATAATCATGTTCAACATAATTGTACAAAATGCATTGAAGTGGATAGACATTTCGTCTAGAGAAAATTTTTAGTGGAGAATCTTGTTTGCCCTTTGTAAGATAAAAGGATCAACTTATTGTCTGCCTTATTGAAGGAGTTCACAGGCCAAAGTTTGATAGTAACCTAGGCAACTCAGGCATGATACATATCTATGCTCAACTTGTGGGGGAGTGTGGAGAATATGTAATGAATTGTCTTTTGTAATATTCCATGGGTATTTTAGTATTTTTCCTCTTCTTTTGTATTTGGGCATCCATGCAAGGTAATCTTGTATTTTTCCTCCTCTTGATAATAAATACAATTTTTTTTGTAACAATGACCAAACACACCATTCATAACTTTGCTCTGCTTCTTCCTCATCTCCTCCTAACTTCTTGCTTCTTTCTTCTCAATCAACAACTAAAAAGAATTTCTAGACTTCCACCAAAAAGTAAATGCAAAAAGATGTAGCATGTAGTAATAGTAGCTAGGGTTTTATAAAGCATGTGAGGCTATAAAGAAGGGGATGATCGGAAAACATCTCATTTTGACCAAGGGGCACATCGCTAATTATCAATAAAAAAAGTTTATGTTTTCAAAGACTTAAGAGTGTTGCATGCATGATTTTAATCATTGTATTTTTTTTTTGATAAATGTGGTTTTAATCATTGTATTTGTAAACAAGGAAATCTTCTATTTTCCAAAGGGTTCACCAATGCCCAAATCAGCCCCCACTAAGGGAAAAAAACGTTTGGAGAAAGGAAAAAATTTTAAAAAGTGAAAAAAATCTATAGAATTTAGTGACCACCATGCTAAATTTTTAGAAACTGGTGATATACCGCTCACCTCGGAAGCCCCTTCGAGGGTGGCTTAACCTCCTGAAACAGAAAGTGGAGAAGAAGAAGAGAAGGGAAGGTAGGAAAAGAGGGATTCAGTGAGAGAGAAACAGAGGATATTCATTCTTGCCTTTCATTGTAAGAGTATGGCCTTATATAGCTGGCCTACAGGTGTAATCATAGAGGGAATATCCTCTGATTGGCAGGATAACTAACTCTGAGAAATATCATGGAGGGAATATCTTCTGTCGGCAGAATCACCCTTTCTGTGTGTAACTAATTCTAAGGCTCTATCGCCTGTCCCTGAGGCTCAGTCGTCAGTCCTTTCTGCCTCCTTGAGTACTACTGATGGGTAGTGGCCTGCTCCACTCCCTTTGTTGGGTTCGGGGAAGGTATTTGGGTCCCAACAATTCCTCCCTCCATAGCAAATGACCTTGCCCTCAAGGTCTAGGTTCGGGAACCTCTCATTCAGCCTTAGACAAGGTTCCCAGGTGGCGTCTTCTGGGGGCAGCCCGGCCCATTCTACCGTGGCTTCTAGTACAACCTACACACCTCGTCGGACCCATCGGAAATCCACAATTTTGATGGGCTCTGTGTAAATGTCCCCTTCTTCAGTGAATTGGGGTAAGCTAGATGAGGTAGGAGTATGATTTCCCACAGCCTCCTTGAGAAGAGAGATGTGAAACACCGGATGAAGCTTCGAGGTAGCAGGGAGGTCCAATCTGTAAGCAACAAGACCCACTCTTTCCAGCACCTTGTAGGACCCATAATACCTGGGAGCTAGCTTGTGCCAAGCCCGTCTTACCACTGAGACCTGGCGGTAAGGTTGGAGCTTAAGGTAGACAAAATCACCCACCTGAAACTCTAATGGGYGGTGGTGAGAGTCATAGCTGATCTTCATTCGTTGCTGGGCCTTTGTCAAATTGGCCTTGAGCAGTCTAAGAATCTCGTCTCTTTCCAGTAGGCGAGTCTCTACTTCTGCCACCTTGGACGACCCATATTCATAGGGTAATATGGGAGGGGGTTCTCTGCCGCATAGGGCCTTGAAGGGTGTCATCCCTACAGCTGACTGATAAGTTGAGTTGTACCAGTATTCTGCCCACGGAAGCCAGTGRGCCCATTGTCTAGGCTTCTCCCCTATGAAGCATCTAAGGTACGCTTCTAAGCATCGATTAATGACTTCAGTCCGTCCATCAGTTTGCGGGTAATAGCTGGTGGATGGGTGCAGTCAGGTTCCTTGCAATCTCAAGTACTCCTTCCAAAATGAACTTAGGAAGGCAGGGTCACGGCCCGAGACAATGGATCTTGGTGTTCCATGCAATTTTGCCACGTCCCGTATGAAAATGTCGGCCACCATYGCTGCAGTGTAAGGGTGAGGCAAAGCAGAGAAATGGCTATACTTGGTGAGGCGGTCAACCACTACCATGATGACCTCTTTTCCTGCAGAACGAGGAAGTCCCGTGATGAAATCCATGGAGAGGTCTTCCCACACTTGCTCTGGAATCTCGAGGGGTTGTAGAAGGCTCGCGGGTGACTGTGAGGAGTATTTCTACTGTTGGCAAGTTGGGCACTCTGATACATAGTGCAGCACATCCTTGCGCATTCCTACCCAATGGTAGTGGCTGCTGAGTCTTTTTAGGGTCCGTAGCACCCCTGAATGTCCTCCCAACGCAGAATCATGAAACAACCGTAGCAGTTCAGTTTTGTGGGTGGAATTTGGAGCAACCACAAACCAACCCTTGAAGAAAAGATCAGGTCCCACAATTTGGTAACCTGGAACCTGAGAAGGGTCACGTTTCCACTTTTCCCTGATGTCTTGCATCTGTGGATCAGATCTGGCTTCTTGCCGTATAGCTTCAAGTAAGGGAAAGCTGGGTTGAGAGCAGGTTAGTTGGGCCAGCTCTTCTACCCGTGATAAGGCATCAGCTACTTTGTTGGCAAGCCTAGGTTTATACTCGATGTGGTAGTCGAATCCCATTAGTTTACTAAGCCATTTTTGCTGCTCYGGGGTGTGCACCCTTTGTTCTGCTATGTACTTCAARCTTCGTTGGTCTGTCCTTATGATAAATTGGCGTCCCAATAGGTATGTACGCCATTTCTGTACTGCCATTACCACGGCCATCATTTCCTTGACATAGGTGGACTGATTTTGGTGTGCTGCTAAGAGAGCCTTGCTGAAATAAGCAATGGGTTGCCCCTTCTGCATCAAAACGGCCCCCACTCCGACACCCGATGCATCATACTCTATCTCAAAGGGCTGAGAGAAATCCGGAAGAGTGAGGACTGGAGGGCTAGAAACTACTGTCTTCAAGTCTTCAAAGGCCCGTTGGGCATCATCAGCCCAACCAAAAGAATCCTTCTTTAACAGGCATGTTAGAGGGGTGGCCATAAGCCCATACCCCTTAATGAAGCGCCTATAATAACTAGTAAGCCCAAGAAAACCCCTGAGAGCCTTTACAATAGTGGACTTGGGCCATTTTTGGATGGCATCTATCTGGGTCTGCCATGACCCGCCCTGTAGCAACCACATGGCCTAAGTACCAAATCTGTCTTTGTCCAAAGGAGCACTTTGTCAATTTGGCATGCAACTGGTGCTCTCTCAGAATTGTGAGGATAAGTTTCAGATGTTTCATATGGGTGCCCCAATCCTTGCTGTAAACCAAGATGTCATCGAAAAATACCATAATAAATTGCCTTAGGAAAGGCCTAAAGATGTCATTCATGAGGGCCTGAAAGGTGGAGGGGGCGTTGGTAAGACCAAACGGCATAACCAGAAACTCATAATAGCCATCGTGGGTCCTAAAGGCTGTCTTGTGGATATCAGCCTGGTGAACCCGGACCTGATGATACCCGGACCGCATGTCCAATTTGGAGAACACTTGTGTTTCCCCTAACTCGTCCAGCAGTTCATCAATGAGAGGTATTGGGAACTTGTCCTTCATTGTAATCTGATTCAGGGCCCGGTAATCTACGCAAAACCGCCAACTACCATCCTTCTTCTTCACTARGAGTACGGGGGATGAAAACGGGCTGGTGCTGGTCTATATATGCCCCTTGTCCATTAGCTCTTTTATTGCCTTCTCAATTTCCAACTTTTGGAAATAAGGGTATCTATATGGCCTCACATTGGCTGGTTTGGAATCTGGTAAGAGGGGTATCTAATGGTCATGGGCCTGGGGTGGAGGTAACTGGTTCGGTTCCTTGAATATGTCACCAAACTGATCGAGGATCGATCTTAGGGTCTGGTGTTGGGCTTCAGTGGGTTGGTCACAGTCCTGATTGTTTAAAATTGGAACTGTGGGCTGAATGCCCAAGTGCATAAACAAGGGCTGTCCAGTATCCTTGGAGGCCCGTATTATAGAGGCTAAAGTATCACCTCGGGGACTAGGGGGCCACACCCCTTGCAAATGGCAGGTTTGTCCATTTTGGCAAAAATCCATCGTCATTCTGGCCCAATCACACAGTGCAGGACCTAGGCCACGTAACCAATGGATTCCCAAAATAATATCAGCCCCCGAGAATTCCAATGGGTGGAGATCTACCACGAAATTATGGCCCTGTATGAGGATCCTTTCCTTCTTACATACACCATCACATAACATCTTATTCCCATTAGCCACATGGATTGAAAAGAGAGGAGTGGGGTGTATAGTCATACCTAGTTGCTTTGCCAAATGGCAAGTGATGAAATTCAGAGTAGAGCCACTGTCAATCAAAACCATCACAGATCGGCCAACCAATCTTCCTTCTACTTGCATGGACTGAAGAGGGTTGAGGCCCATAAGAGCGTGTAGGGAGATCTCGGCTCCAACAGGTTCTGGTTCGCCTGATATCAGCTCACAGTCTTCGATGTGCTCTGGTTCTGTCCTCTCCGGTTCTCCCTCTGTTTGAAGGAGAAATACTCGCTGGACCCGGCACTTATGGCCCGGCCCAAACTTATCATCACAGTTGTAACAGAGGCCCTTCTCACGTCGGGCCTACATCTCAGCCCACGAGAGGCGCTTGAAAGGCACAGTGGGCCTAGGCAAGATGGGCTTCTGAGAATCCCCAACTTGTTTCTGGGGTTGCTATTCGGCCCGCTGGAGAGCCCTCACATTCGGATAGGATGGCTTGCTAGTCCTGCGCATGCTATCAATCTTCTCTTCTTGCAAGCRAGCCATRCCCACCGCCGCCATGACTGTCGCTGGTCGAAGAGCTCTCACTTCCAAGCAGATGTCTTCTCTGAGACCTCCCACAAAACACCCAACCAAGGCCTTCTCCGGCCATCCATGTACTCTGGTCGCCATTCTTTCGAACTCGAGCTAGTAGTCTGCTACTGTCCCAATCTGTTTTAGTCGAGTGAGGAGTTCGTCGTAATCCACGAACGTCGTCGGCTCAAAACGGATGCACAGAGATTCCGTGAACTCCGCCCAAGTTACCTGAGGATGGGTTTGTCAATACCACTGGAGCCAGAGAATAGCGTCTCCTTCTAGGTGAATGGAGGCGATGGCGACGCGCTGGTGTGCAGGGGTTTCATGATACTCGAAGAATCTCTCTGTTCTGAAGATCCAAGGAATGGGATCTCCACCGGAATAGTTTGGAAAATTGATTTTAGTAACCTTTCCGGCGGGGTAACCCCCAGTTCCCTGGCTACCGGAAACAGAGGCATCGGCCCCTGTTGGCTGACTAGTCTCGCCGGATTGTTGTTGGGAGGCGAGGTTAGAGATGACCACCTTGAGATCCCTGAGTTCGTCCAGTACTTGGTGGAACCCAATCTCAAGTTGGTCGACTCTATCTTCCATGGTAGAGGATCTTGTCTGCGGCATAGCTGGTCTGCAACCTTGCTCTGATACCAACTTGRTRAGATACYGCTCACCTCRGAAGCCCCTTCGAGGGTGGCTTAACCTCCTGAAACAGAAAGTGGAGAGGAAGAAGAGAAGGGAAGGTAAGAAAAGAGGGGTTTGGTGAGAGAGAAACAGAGGATATTCATTCCTACCTTTCATTGTAAGAGTATGGCCTTATATAGCTGGCCTACAGGTGTAACTAATTCTGAGGCTTTGTCGCCTATCCTTCCTGCCTCCTTGAGTACTGCTGATGGGTAGTGGCCTGCTCCACTCCCTTTGTTGGGTTCGGGGAAGGTATTTGGATCCCAACAGAAACCCTCTTTAAATATGGGCCACTTAGGATAGGACTCAGAATGGACCTTATATAGGGATCATGGATTCAGTTTATGCGAAAGATGAAGGCCCTATGCATTTTGGCCCAACAAAACCTAAGGAGGCTAACTTCTATTACATTAATACAACTCTCTTGCAAAGACAACTAACCTGAATAACAAATATAAATTGATTAAAGGCAAAAAATCATGCAATTAATCTGAGAAATAAATAAATAAATAACAACTTCCAAAATTTAGACTTCAACAATGTTGTTGAATAAGCTGCCAGAGGACACCACATACAAACTAGACAAATATGGTTAATGAAAGCTCAACAAACTGTTCAGACTTCAGATTAGTCAGTGCCCCAAACATTCCACGTGATGGGCTGCCATTTTAAGCATGCTTTCTATTGAATTAAATCAAGCCAGGCTTTGAAGTAAAGGTTATGTAACTCAGCAGTCAACACCAGAAGACAACTGTAATTCTACAAGGATTTAGGGAAAAGATATCTGAGCCATAAATGGAAAAGGGACAAAGAATGGATAAGTTTGGAGAAAGAATCTTGAACAGCTTAAAGTATGAACTGCATTCTACACTATCAAAGTATTTAGTTAGTTAATTTCTAAACAACTTGATTGGCTACCTTCAAAACAATAATAAAAATAAGCAGATAGAAAGATTAAAATAAAAGTACTTCGAAATGTCAAGGACTAAAAACCAAATAGTGGTTCTGTGGCTGTATACTGATTTATTTTAGCCACTTTTCAACTCAGAAAGAGGAGAGATAATATCTATTGTTCTAAGTGAGAGACTCCATACCCGAACGAGTTTGTAGGTCAATGCGTTCTCTTTTTCACTTGGAGTCATGGAAGTGTTTCCAGATGCATCTTCCATAGTCCCACATCCAAAATTTTTTTGCTGATTTCCAAACATTTTCTTAAATGCCAGTCATACTGGTAGTCATGAGAAGGAACCAGGAAAAAGCATCACCACTTAGCATTCATAGATTCGTATAAGTCATTCCTGCAATGTGCATCCAAAGAAAAGCAATGACAAGTTATGAGGCCCATCACTAAAAAGCTATGAAAAAACAAGATCATTGGCATGCGAAATATAAGAATCTCAGCTTACAAGTAGTCAATAAACTAATTGATAAACATCATAAATTTTATTTATAAATATATCCTTCTATTTCAACTCAAATAAAATTAATCATGGAAAGTAGCAATTCTGTATATGTGTATTTCTATGTAAGCATGTAGTCTGTTTTCCTTTTATTCTACTCATATATCAAAATTTAGGTCACATTTTTGTCAAGGACCATACAAGTGACAACATATACTCCAAATAGAGCAGGCCAGGTTGCATAGGCATTATGAGTAATGGCACTTGCATTGGTCTATAGAAGGTTAATTGGATAACAAGTTCTGTTGGGAACCCAGCACATTGGGTTTGCCTTGTTTTGTAGCATCCCATTCATTGCACCATTTCTCCATTAAAAAAGAAAACAGCCTTGGGCAGAGATGGGGGTGCCAAAGAAAATAATTGGTTGCAAAAGAGGCCAAGCCAACTACACCAAACATTTTTCATCCAAAACTTGTTGAAAAGCAGCTGTTAACATAGTTATTTGATGTATAAAGTGTACTATCCAAAAAAAAGCCAGTCCAAACTTCAGCCCAGAAGTGGATAGTTCATTGGTTCTTTAGTTGTTTTCCCAATTTTAAACAAGGGCTTCAGGAAAAAATGAGTATTGCTTTGTAGTCAATCAGTTCTCCATGGCTCCATGCACTAGGGGGCACCGATTTTCAAGCTTCCAACAAAGAAAAAGGTAGCACGTTTTTTTTGGAGGGGGTTATAGTAATAATTTATTGCACTTGCATTTTGTTGATACTCTTTATTTGCAATTCCGTACCAACTTTCAGACCTATAGTTGTTATTCCTTCTTTCAAATTTTTGCAGTCACTAGTGTTTCTGCCTATTTCACGCACACAACTCCAATAAATTAAATGATGATTCATATGAGGTGTGCATATGTAAGAATAATTAATACAACCGATCACATTAGGGAGGCAATAATTATGTCATCTGATTCCAATAGTTGTGTGCATCCGATGATAATAATGCATCATCAATTCCACAAAATTAACTATAACTATGCTTATAATTGCAATTATCAGTTTAAAACCATAAATCACTGTCAGTCACCATTGTCAATATTATTGTCATCCTTACCATTCTGGTATTTACTATATACAACCTCAGCTTGTAACCTTTTTCTCTTTCTTTTTTCCTTCTATATTTTGGGGGCATGGGAGAGTGAGGTGGGAATTTGTTAGACGGTGAGGCCGGGTCCTAAACCAGGAATTTAGTAGGAATACCAAACACTTTACCAATTTAATAAGCAGGTCAAGAGCCCATCTGAGACCATGCATTATCGTCATTGTCATCATATCATTACATGATTATTACTAATAATTACCAAAACGCGTCCATCAAAAAGATGATGCAGCAACACCAAAACGCATCCATCAAAGATGATGCCGTATTCGTGCATGTATGCAACACCAAATAAATCTAAAAATGATGCCGCAATACGCATTTCTCAAATAAAAGATGAAACGGAAAGCCAAAATCTAATTACAACGGAACCGAAGTTCACGCGAACAACAAAACTTCCATCTTCAGCACTCCAACAAAATAAGTACTGCGTACTGAAGATTCTCACAAATTCAAGTATATGACTGAAAAAAATGCACACAACACAATGCTGCAATCATTCCAGTTGACATAAAGAATAGCCGTCCAAGGCGAAAACTTCAAGAACATAGCTTGGAAGGAGAAAAAATAAGAAAATAAACCACACAAGGAGGTCGAAAAAGCATACCTGATTCAACAATCGGAAAGAACCAAAAATGAGCTGAAACAAACACAAACACATACTGAAACGCTTACTCAAAGAAAGATCAAAGCGTGAAGAGATTACAGAAGAAGAAACGAAGAAATCTTACCTCGTGATGTAAGCGAGATCCCGAGTGAATGTTCGACACGGAAAAGCCAAAAACCGCCAAAGTGAAAGCAAACGAGAGCAAGCGAGCCGGCGAGTGAGTGAGAGTGAGAGAGAGAAAAGAGAGGGAAACCAAAAGTAAAGAGGAGAGAAGATAGTTGTTAGCTAAGGTGCTTTACCTTTTTCTGCGACGGACGGACTCCAAATATTTTATTCAAAATGAAATCATAATCCTCGTTTTAAGTCCGCTGCGTGGACACGAGGCGACAGAAAGGACGGGTAAATGTCCTTGCCGTCCACGTAGATGACGACGTTAGTACTTGTCTGTGACGTGTGAAACGGCGCCGTTAATGTAGCGTAGAAGAAATGCGGCGAATATTTATTCGGATTTTCTACCGAAAAGAAATTATTTATTGCCGTCTAATCCTGCAATTAATCAAACCTTAAATCACGTGATGCGACTCCAATTGACTCCCTCTGACGAATGACGAATCTCCTTTTTCTCTGCCTTCGGTCTTGTTTCTTTGCGCGGACCAAACCTGGACCAGTTAGGTGTGTATGATTCCATGCTGGAAATCAGATTTGCTACTAATATAGCGCGCCTCACACAAACCGTGCAGCCGTGCAATGGGAATATCTTTAGTTCTATGATATCATTCATGGGAAACTATTCTCAATGCACGGCTGAAAGTGCGAGATTGGTATCAAGCGCGTTCTGTGAGCAAATCCGGATTCTACATGCTGCTGACCCAAATTAGATCTTATGATTCTCACATTCAGCTCCTAATCAGGGCCGTCTGATGCGAAAAAAATTAAATCCCACGATCCTCACGTTTGTTCGGAACCAACCGTCGGATGGGCTTGTAGTTCACTTGATCTGCATCGTGGAAGTTAGTCCCCGTCAAGATTACAGGGTTGGGCCCACTGTTCAGTGCATCTCATGACCACGTTATTCTTTGTACGGTCAAAAAAAAAGGAGCAGATCCCAATTCAATGCGAGTAAAAAGTGTAAAATGGAACTGGTCTCATTATTAAAAAATAGGGTAAATTGGTTGATGCTAGCCATGTTTCTGTTCAACCCATGCTTAAACCGGCCCGAACTCCGCAGGACAAAATGTTTTTCCTCAACGTAACATCATCCGTCTCTACACATATAATAGAATCCGATCATAATAAAAATTGTGTCAACATGGTCCCATTATGATTTGTATCTATCAATCAGTTGGGATTACTTCCAAACACCCTCCCAACACAATCTAACATTGTACATCTCATCATGAGGCTAGGGACTCATCATAAAAGTGTGATTGTGTGACCTGCTATGTATGAGATGTGTGGTGTCAAATGATGTTGGGCAAGTGTTGGAATGTATTTTGTTGGCAGTGATGGGGGCTCATCAGTACAATTGAGAGTAACCATGTAGGTGAAAGAGTTCGGATCTCTTACTCGTGAAGAATCTACCCACACCCACCTACATGATATGGCAATCACATAGGGAACATCTCATGCTCTTACATATATTCATGAAGAGATGTTCCCAATGCACGAAAAATAGTGTTTTATGGGTAGGTGTGGGTAAAGTTCTTGTTGGTAGGAGATCCAAAGTCATAAACAACGTGCAAATATAAATTATGTTGGAACAACTTTTATTGTAAGCTGGTGCCTATTAGAGTGAATCAGGACTTGGAGGCTCCCAAATGAAATACTTCATATCTCATACCGTGTGAATCTCAGCCTCATGGTAAATCCCAGTCTCACACTTGGGATCTACTGCACACAAGCAAGGGTAGAGCCAAGGGTGGCGGAGGGGGGCCATGCCCCCCCCCCCCCATGCCTTTAAAATTCCCACAAGACCCATTTAAATTTTACTTATATTTTGACTTCCTTACCCATGTTTCTTAGCTTTTGGCCCCCCTATCCATGCTTTATAGGTTTTGACCTCCCTTGAAAACGTAGAGAACCACCACAATATATTGGGAACATTTCCTCATAAATGAAAAGGGAAATATTTCCAAAATGTAATTGTAATGTCTGTTGGGTAGAAATGTGGAAACAGCTCGTAGGTTACAGATCCAAGCCTCCAATCTCATGGCGAGATTGTTTGATTGTATTGGAAGCGAGTTGGACCGATTGAGTTGGGAGCAGATCCCAACTCAGAGCGAGTCCGGATTGAGTTGGGAGCAGATCCCGTAAGAGTGTCAATCATAACCACGTGGAAAATTAATAAGCCACAGGGACTGACAGAATATTCCTTATACGTGGTCTTTTCTATGTGCGTGGCATCGACGTGCATTGATAAATACGTAGATCATCATGATGATTCTTTTGCTGGTACACCGTGGAAAAAAACGTTTCTTATTGTAAGCTCTGCATTTTCTGTTTATGGCTAACCATATAAAATCTGTCTTCATTCTCGCAGTAAAAAGGCACATGCAAGTAAGAGAGTAAAAGATGAAAATGCATATTTGGATTTTAATTTTGTTTACTTTATTTCTTTAAATATATAAACTTATATTTTAAATTATATTTTGTGGCTCCAGATTATTACCCACAAAGAAACTACGCCCACACATTTGGAACATCTCAATTGTTATTCATATAGAAATATCGTTTCTAAATTCTAATGTACAATTATAGTGTCTTGTGGATTATATATATATATATATATATATATATATATGCGTGGGCAGTGTCAACTGTGGGTAGAAGATTCAATTATTCTAGCTTAAGGTCTGGATCTACCTATAAGGTGACAAGACACCACTACCACACATTGGGAACATCACAATTGCCATTTATGGGAGATATTTCTGGGTACATGTGGGTAGTGTCATTGTAAAGGGACTGGATCTGTTCATACAAAAATTGTACCAACATAATACGTAGCAAATTTGAGCTTCTCTAAGTAACAAAGTTAGAGAGAATGAAAGAGAGGAATAATGAGACTTTTTTGTATAAGGTAAGGTAATAGATAAGTAATGGTATACCCACCTATGGGTTGCCAAAAGGAACAATCTCTTAGAGAAGGTGCACCTTATTAAAAGAATTTTATAAAGGAATGATTTTTTTTTTATAAGTTTTCATCTCAAAAATTGTTGGCGAGGTCACCATCCAACTTCCTTGTGTTTGATAGTATGGAATTTTTATGGGTTTTTGCGTCTTGTTTGTGTTGGGCAACCAAAACTACTTTTCCTAAAATTTAAAACATTTCAATTCTATAGTTGATGGTTATCATATTTTGTCAGTCCAGTCAGCTTGTTTAATATGTGAAAATGATTAAAGCAAACCAAAGACTATAAGCATACTTAGTCGTTTTTTTTATTGCATTGATATAAATTTGTTTTTATTTCTTGTAACTTGTAAGCTCGTGCAAGTGATTGGGGATTTTAATCCTAATGATATTTTGAATTAAGGCTATGTGTGTTTCAATATAAAAATACGTAGAAAAAGCTCTTGGCCCAAAATATTTGAGAAACTTTTTTATGTTTGTTTTACTATGATATCTTTATTATTCTTCCCACTTATGTTAAGATAAATTGTGGAAAAAGAAAATAACATATGAATTGTTGAAGAAGTTTGGAAAAGTTAATACCCAATTTATAGAGAAATAAATGTAGTTTCCAGTATAGGTGTAACTTGGGTGGGTCCAAATCAAGCTTGAACCGACATAGCCTGTAGTTTTGTATGGGATGGGCTTAAATTTCGATTTGGGCCCAAAAGTTCAAGTTTTTTTATTTAAATTATTTTTTGGGATGAATTTTGACCTAACCCTTAACTAGTTCAAATCCAGCCCAGCTATATACATATCAGATATATACACATACTTGCATATATATATGATTTATGTCAAACTTTAGGTTCCATTTGGTTTGCAGGAATAGGGGTTTATAATTGGAATCGAAATGGGCCATTTCGTTTTTAACTGTTTGGTTGGGCAGAATTAGAATCCCATTCCCATTCTTGGTGGAATGTCATTCCCCCATTTGAGGGAATGGCCATTCCCTCCCTCTCTATTGGGAATGAAATCTCATTCCAGCTGATTTCAATTCACATTTCGATTCATGTCTAAACTCTAAACCAAACAAACTATGGGAATATACCATTCCAATTTCGATTCCGATTCCGACCATGAACCAAACGAACCCTTAGTTGACTAACCAATTCAAACTTGGCTCAAGCCTAAGCCTAACCCAAATGCATAAATTTCCAATTTTCAATTTAGGCTAAGCTCAATTTGGACAAATTGGACTTAACCTCCAGCTCAGTCTGGGCTCAGGCCTTAATGCCAGATTCTTAGTAGGGGTGAGCAAGAAAAACCGAAAAATTAACCGAACCGAAAATTCCAGTTAACCAAACTGATCAGTTTGGTTTTGGTTCTGTACTTTTAATAAACCGAAGGTATCAGTTCGATTTCAATTAACCAATATAGAAAACCAATGGTTAACCAAACCAATCGGTACACATATATTATATATATTTTTTATATTTTACATTTTTATATATAAAAAATTAATAAATATGCATTATATATAAATATATGTATTTATAATATAATATATTATTTATTATTTTTTTAATATATTTATATATTTATTTATAATATATACTATAAATATAAAAAACCAAAAAACCAATGAACGAAATTGATGGTTAACCGAATTGGTCAACCGGTTAACCGATCAGCTTTGGTTCGGTTTCTGTATTACTGGTTTTTGCAAAACCAATAATACCCATTTGATTTCAAAAATAGTCCCACAGTTTGGTTAACTGAACCATGAGCACCCTTAATTCTTAGGGTTGGGCATAGGTTGAGCTAAAACCTAGTCTAGTCCACTTGACTTGCAACCCTACTTTGCAACAAATGGTATGTAAATATTTTATCTCATGGGTATGTTAACATGGCCAAGAAGGAATGAAATGAAAAAATGTCCCTACTTATTTTAATTTATTTAAAACAAGGAATTATGAAATTATACATTATTTGTTCATGTATCATTTTTTAAGCCCATCCATTGGGGTTTCTTAAACATAATCTTGAATTCTTAATAAAGCAACCAATATATATATATATAGTACCCATTTTTTTAACAGAAAATTGTTTTTAATAACAATCGAAAATGCTCCACGATCAACTTGTTCCACCTTTTTTTGGTGC